CGGGTTAAAGGGGTTTTGAGCCGGAAAGCCACGGCAGGGGTCGGGAGGGAGATGTTGGCGGTGTGATTGCGCAGATAAATTCAATTTCTGAGGCAGGCCAAAAGCGGACTAAACGGCCTGTCTGAATGCACCCACTGCCTTTCCCAAGATGCCAGCTCAGCACGCCGGGGTGTGTGTGTGTGTGTTGCAGCACAGACAGCTTCACTAAACCGGATCGCACGCGGAGGATGACCGATACAATCCAGGCGGAAAACAGCTTTTGGCCCCAGGCGAGAGAACGAGACGAATGCTGGACCCGGTTACCAGCTCTTCCCTCAGCCTTGTCCAGTGTTGGGGGGGGAGGGCTGCAGCCCTTCCAACATCCCTGCAGAGCGGGCCAGAGGCCCTGGTCTCTCCGTCAGCTTTGCAGACTCAATTTTAGTGGATGTGCCCACCAGTTCCGTGGCAGGAAAGGGACACGGCGGCCCAGATATATTCAGTGGAGAACATTCACAGGGCCACACCACCACCCCAACACACACAAAGAAAGCCCAAAAACTCAGGCCTCCGATCTCCATTCCAACTTGTACCTAATGAAGGGACCTTAAGAGAAGCCAATGTTGGATCAGGCCAATGGCCCATCCAGTCCAACACTTGGTGCCACACAGTGGCCAGAAACACCAGGGGCCCTCAGGAGGTCCAGCAGAGGGGCCAGGAGGACACTAGAAGCCCTCCCACTGTTGCCCCCCCCCCAAGCACCAAGAATACAGAGCATCCCTTGCCCCAGACATAAGAGAAGCCAATGTTGGATCAGGCCAAAGGCCCATCCGGTCCAACACTCTGGGTCACACAGCGGCCAGAAATACCAGGTGATCTCAGGAGGTCCAGCAGTGGGGCCAGGACTCTAGGAGCCCTCCCACTCTTGCCCCCCCCCCAAGCACCAAGAATACAGAGCATCCCTTGCCCCAGACTGAGACTTCCTATCTAGACCTTGTGGCTAATAGCCAACGATGGACCTCTGCTCCAGATGTTGATCTAGTTCCCTTTTGAAGCTGTCCATGCTTGTAGCCGCCACCATCTCCTGTGGCAGTGAATTCCACGTGTTCCTCACTCTTTGGGTAAAGAAGGACTTCCTTTTATCCGTTCTAACCCGACTGCTCAGCAATTTCATGGAGTGCCCACGAGTTCTTGTATTTTTTATTCAAGGCATGAGCTTTACGTGTGAGACATAACCTTTTCTGCCACTGACCCACGGCCTCTCCCCAGTGTTTACACATGAAGCTGCCTTCTACTGAATCCGACCCTTGGTCCATCATGGTCAGTATTTCCTGCTCTGACTGGCAGTGGCTCTCCAGGGTCTCAGGCAGAGGTCTTTCCCATCACGTACCACCTGATGATGGAGATGCTGGGGATGGATCCTAGGACCTTCTGCATGCCAAGCAGATGTTCTACCACTGAGCCACGGCCCCTCTTTACAGCTCTCCAGGGTCTCAG